GCATTAACCAAGTTATACCGCACAGAATTTGGCTCTGCAAAGACTGAGTGATTACAACGCTACAATAGTGCATCATGTAGCAAAATGCGCGTGGGGCTAGGCACAAATCTCCCTGACAGCTTCACCTCAATTAATTGGTAAATTAAAACGGGCGCATCATTATGAGAGAGTTCCCGGACTACACGTACGTCCGGACACGTCTGAGGGTGCACCCTTGCAAAAAAGCGTAAAATGTGTACGCCGAGTTCCTTAATAAAAGTTATACACTCAAAATATTCTATAGTAGAGAGTCCTGAGAGTCATGAAATCGAGGAATTGGAGAAATATGGCACTGAACCTCGGGCCCAGACTTTGGGCTTGCCATTACGAGCAACTTGGGTGCAGTCGGGTCTGTAAGTGGCACTATTTGGCCGTTTTTCAGAGGGATGATTTTTCCAAATGGCCACTTTTCTGGGCAGATACATTTCCTTCATTTTTAGAGGTGGTCTGCTTCTGGTGAAAATTTCTCAAAACATCACCGGTCAACCCCCCAAAAATTGAAAGGAAAATGAAAGGGGACATGTCGATCATCGTTTTTCTGTGCAGCCTGGACACCTGTGAGAGTTGTGAGTAGTTTCTAAATATTTGTGAAGAGTGGGGATTTATCATTGCTGTCTGTGGGAATTTATTTGTAATGGTGCAGCCATGAACTCTCGCAGGTTACACTACACCATAATACACGCCCATAGAAAGCACACACACACATACACAAACAAAACAGAGCGAAAAAGCGCCGCCTGTTGACACTCGAAGGAGGTTTGTCTCCTTCCCCCCCCCCGGATATTCAAGATTATGGCCAGAAGATCACTTTTCCTTTGAATTTGATGGGTTTTAACCACAGTTTTGTTTTAATTCGCCTTTCCCCGAAGATACTTCCAAAGTAGTAAAACTATTCGCCCGGCTCTGATTGTCGCCGCCCGCCTCTATCCAAATATTCCCTCAATTTAGGGCTTTTGCGAAAGAAATAACCCGAACTGGAAACTGCCAGTCCCAAATTCGGGATTTATAGAAATGTTTCTGTGATCCCTCCTGATTCTGGCATGTCTTATTCTAAGAACCCGTGGGATCACAAAGTAGTCATGAGCTCGCGCGCAGAAATACAACCATTTCGCGAAATGCACCCTCAATAGTATCATGCATGCCATTTTTTCCGGGGAAAGTGAATCGGGCCCCGAACAGTTCTTCTAAATAACATGTTATATTTTGTGCTGAATTTGATACGTGGTCTATTTCTTCAGATACCTTGCCGTTGAAGCGAGCCTCTTTACAGCAACTTCCTTATGTACTTGAAAAAAGAGCACTGTTCCTGTCATTTTTATAACATGTTTTTACTATGTTAACTTCAGTTGTCGTATATTCAGTTATGTCAAATGTTGATCTAAAAATATAGCTCAAAATACCCCTTTCTCTAACCTTATCCCCAACAATCGCACTATCATAACCCTAACGCAAACAATATCCCTCACCCATGTATTCCTAAACCTATCCCTAACCCTATCTCTAAACCTATCTCTAACCCTAACCCCATCCCTAACCCTATCTCTAACCCTAACCCCATTCCAAATCCTAATNGTCTGACGATCTGATAACCACGAGCTTAAGCAGTTTTAGTGTAGTAAACTGTGCGAGGCTATGATTATTAAAATGGGCAGCCGAGCATCGCCAAAGCCCCACACTCGTTCAACCTTACAAGTGTCTGGTCCTCTCTTGGGAAGTTCATCACTTCTATTCACTTTTCGTATTGATGTATTTAAGTCAAATTATTGACATTTTAATCATGTTTATAATGTAGAGTTGGAGTTCTTTTTAGTCCTAAGACTAGGGCTTAAGTTAGTTTCCCCCTGGTTGGCAACTTTTTTTACCACAGTTTCTTACTAGCGTAAAGATCTTACAACTCTAATCTGTTAACTTTTGATAGCTAATGTGTTGCTTTGAGTTGGTTTTACTTTTTAAGGCCATTTAATTCTGAATTTTGGGTCTTTCCTTGACACAACTGAAGTGATTAAGTTTTATAATGAAAGTCCCATACTGTATCTGTCCAAATGATGATTCCACAAGTTAGGCCTACTGCGTCTAACTGTTAATCTTTCTGTGTAATTGGATTCTCCCTCCAAACTCTTAGAGTTTCAGGAAATGCTACATTTTTTGTAGATTTTGTGATTCCCCCCTTGGACTTTGTATACTGTACATGTACATCAGTAAGGCTTCGAGTAGACAAGCCATGCTTCCCTCCTTTTCCTTGAGAAAATGTTACTAGCTGGCCTAAAGTTTACTGTGCAGATATACTTAATAAGGCCCATAGGACTGTGTTGTATCTTGTAAACTGTAATCCCCTATGCACACAACCAGTACTTACATATGAAGCAAGATATGGGACAAGAGCACCCCCCACCTTAGTGTTGGTCATTGTTTGATCCAGTCTCAGGAATTATTTCCATACATGTACATCTAGGGGATGTGTTAGGTAACAATAGTCTACTGATTGGACATGTAAGGGGGTGGGGTACCCCTGTCCCATTTCTTCCTGGGTAAGAGTACTTGGCCACGAACAGGCTGGCTCTGTGCCCCTGTGACTTTCAGTATGCAGGAAATGTAGTCTTTGTTATGGGCTGTGTTTCAAAATTACTTTCTATTTCATTACAGTGTATTTCTTTTCATGGTTTTATGTAACAGGTTCAAACCATTCTTAATGTTTAAAGAGTAATTTTCCAAAGGCGCTGTGTGGGTTTCTTTTTGTCTGTGGGTTTTTTTGTCAGTGGGCTTTCCTTTTTTTCTCCTTCTTCCCAAGTGTTTTTTTCTTTGGGCAATTTCCAGATCTGTTGAAAGTCCATTTCGGTTTCCATTTCTTCCTCATTTTTTTTTCGAACCGCAACTTTGTTTAAATAGATTTATTTTATTCCTGGTGGATTTTCAAAGATTTTCAATGCTTTGATTTTGACTTGGTGTTACCAGGGACTGAAATAGTGTCCTACCCTTTTGGTGAGTTATTACTGCAGTCCCCTATATTTCCCCTTTGTGATAAAGCTCATCAAGAGCTATCTCTCAGATGAGACTCTGATAATTCCTTTACCTTGCGATGGTGAATTTGCCGCTCAGTGTGTGCTTACGGTAGGCATGGGTGTATGAATTGAGGGTAGTGGTGATTGTGAACTGCTCAGAAGGGAGAAATCCACTATTAAAAGAGCTCACACAGTGCCTTAAAAAATGACAGAGTGACAAACTGCTAACTTTAGGTTTGTGCGAAAAAGGGCAGGTTAAACACAGAAATGGTGCTTAATGGTGTTCAGTATTTTCAACCTGTTGTTTCTTATGTGCAAGGATCTAAAGGCGTGACATGGGAGGGAGGTGTGCGCGTACCCTCCATAGCCTGGTGGCCAGGCACCATCCCAGCTGATGTCACCAACCATGAAGTCATCAGCTCCATGGATCTCTTCAGCCTCGCTGTAGACCTCGCTGGAGGGTCCCTACCCACAGATCGCATCATCGATGGGCGGAGTATCAAGGAGGTGTTACTACACGGGGGCCGGTCACCCCACCAAGCCCTGTTCCACTACTGTGGCAAACGTATCATGGCAGTACGGCACGGGCGATACAAAATGCATTACCACACACAGGAGGTCCTCACAGACGAGGCGCTGTCAGCATTGTGCAGGCCGAGGCGCGTACAAAACCGCATGGGAACCTTTCACTGCGGAGTGTGCTTCGGTGCCTACGTGACGACCCACGACCCCCCTCTCCTGTTTGACTTGGACGAAGACCCTGAGGAGGCCTACCCATTGCCGGTGGAAGAGCACGCGGAGATTGTGTACGAGGTGGATCATTTGGTCTCAGAGCACCAGGCTGGAATGGCCCATGGATTGCCACTCTTCATTGATGAATACATGGGTTCACCTGTCATACCTTGTTGTAATCCTCCATATTGTTGTTGCAGGGCAAAATACGACAGTAAAAATTGGTTTTAAAATTAAAGGACATATTTTGCTACATATTGTATTTCATCACTAAAATAAAATAGCATGGATGACCCCCAACAATTAAATTTGTGTCTTCCAAAGGTCACGCTGTATTCAATCATATGCTGCCAGATTTAATTTGAAGTTGCATGATGTATTCCAGGGGGATTTCAAGATTTTCCATTTTCAAAATTCTTCAAAAATTCATAACTTCATATACTGGATGTTTACACCCACATGAATGACTGTTTGGGGCTACTCTAATCTGACAGACAACATCTGTTGATGCCCATGTATCACAGCCAGGATTGCCGCCTTGTAAAGAGAGCCCAGATTGTGCGATGTAACGTAATTTTGTTTTGTTTTCCCCGGTGGCGTCTTTTCAAATGTGGACCAGATTATTATATTCCTTGTGCACACAGTCAAAGACAATCTCCTTATTATATGGCACGCGTGTGGCAAGTTCTGCCTGCCACAGCACACACAGACTCTTGACCAATAGAAATGGATTATATTCTCTCGTATCCAGGTGCCAACATGTTTTTACACAGTGAGCATTATCAACTGTTAATACATGGTCACCTTGTGCATTGTTGACAAGGCAAACTGCCTATGGTATTTATGAATGTCTTTTTAAAATAAAAGAAGGGGTAAAAAAGCATTTCCTAACAAGCAGAGTTGGCAGATGTGTTTTGTAGAGGGAAACATCTCAAGAGTAAAGAAACTGAAAAAACCATTTTTAAAGTTTTGTTAAAAAATGGAGCTGGGGAAAATTCCTTTTCAGTGCATTTCTGCCCTGAAATTTTATGGCAGGTGGTTAATTCTTTGCTGTCATGTGCACACCTTGAAGTGAAATGTAAAGACCTGGGATACACTTCCTGTAAATTTTCAAGAGGGTATTGGCTGAAGATGGCAACTTTGCCATCGATTATGCATAGGACTGAGTGCTTACCTGGATGACTATGGTATGAAATCAAAGTACAAAATGAAAATCTCTGGCCACATTTAACTGAATCTGTGCAAAATAATGCGCTGAGCACACAAGCATGGTACGATTAGACATCCTAAATCAAATACTCAGTAACATAACAAGTCATGTACAGGATATAGGGTGGTGTACCGTAGAGCAAAGATGGGGCTGCCAATTCTCTTAGCACAGCAAAGTACATGTACAAGGAAACAACAGCTGATGATGTAACATCTACCTAGACATGTTCAGAACAAACCAAATGCACTGCACACTCATGATGACTTACATTTCAACAAATTTAATGCAGGGAAATTGACTGTAATGATTAAAAGTAACATAGCTTTGGACAGATAACTTTTAATGAAAAACAGGAAAAAACAGATAATATATATGTATGTAGACTTAAGTAAGCAGGGCCAGCAGCCTCTAAAGCTCCTGTTTGACTGGTGCAAGTCTAATCTCAAGGCAGGCTTGTAATGACATTATAACCTACCATCTAGTCTCGCTCAGTCATTTACATGAACAAAAGGAATGTCACTTTTAATCCCATTACTTGCAAACTCACTTATGTTTTGAATTGTGATTGTCTTGATCACAAAACTACCTCCACGAATGAAGATTAACAGAATCTGCTGACAACCAGACAAGTGTGCTGCTCAGCTGAAAACATTTCCCTAAAATATTTTAAGCCCGTCTCAATTGAGAGTTGACTTGTGATCCGACTCCATCAACTTAGTCTGAAGATGCCACTGTGGCATTTACTTGAGTTCCAAGCCCTGAAATGGACATGTGAACAATTGATATAGTCACATGAAATGCTGAGTATACTCTTTCTTTAACATATTGAAAAATTAGATGTGAGATAACGCACCTGTTTAGGTAATTATGTATGCATGTCACTGCACATAAAAAAGTTAGGATTATTTCCGATTTAGTTTCAAACACTTCTTATCTTTTAATACAATTAATTGAAGGGTAGAGCAAAATAGGTAATAGATATGATTATTTGTATTACATTTTACTTCTCTGCAGATACCTAAAGTGCCAACAATGATATACCTCAACTTTTAAAATACATGCTGAACATTTGAAATCCTTTGGCCAGTAAGGAAAAGTGAGGGTGTGCATACCTGAAATGCAGTGCACTTCATTCAAAGAAATGGTGAAATTATAACACTCACCAATAAAACCTTACTTGCACCAATTGGTGAAACCAGTGTAATTTTAAATCTTGCTTTGTTTTGTTTTTACAAAAATGAGTGCTTCCATGCTATCAGTATGCCATCAGTATGCCATGGTGAATATTTGTAGCTACAGAGAGTGGTTTCTGTTCAGCACTAATCTCTGAAGGCAATATTAAAGAAGGTACCTTAAAGTTACATCCTCCACTTACGTTTTAAGCTAAATCCGGTTCGTAAGTGTGATGTCACATCAGTTTAAACCACGCCCACTGCACATGTGCACTGCACATAGGGTTACATGCATTGATCGCTGTTTACATGGACCCTTGGAACTGGAAGTTAATGCGCAACTTCAGCGATTGTCCAATGAGAGCCTGCAAATCGTGGCACATCCGCCTTTGTGACAAAGTCACTTATGAACCGGATAGAGAGGCAAAGTAAATGTATCATCTCTTGTTAGTTGTTATGGTCATGGTTAAACACAAAAGCCTTTCAACTATATCCATGTACTTTTGCAGAGGACATTCCAGTTAACAAGTCCATGTATAATAGAACCAACAGTGGCAACTGATGATGTCTTTTCCCCTCGTGTTTTATTGAGAAACGTCCTGTTTACCACAATCTTACCCTCACTTGTACTATCGAAAACTATTTATAAGCTGAGAAAAAACTGGGATTATTAGATCTCGCATGCTTTTCTTTACTTACATATTTGTTGTAGTTTATGTTACCATATGCTCCTTGTGTCTGCATTTAAACACTGACAATCACTGCTGAAAAATCCTGGGCTGCTGTCAATTCAAAATCTCAGGAAAAAAAATCCACACCTTACATGTAGTTGGTTACACCGCTCTGTTCTGGGCTAAACAATGATTCTTTTATATACAGATAATCTATGTACAACTTATACATTAAAGTGAAATAACGAGCAATGTACATTTCTTGTAATCAAGCAATTTTTATAAATCTCTATGGTGATGGATATAAATAGCTGTTGAAATGATTGCACATTGTTTCATTTAATGTGTCCTTTTTACATCATCTTTTTTTTTTTACACAAAAACGGCAAAGTGCCAAAGTATAGCTACTACGCTCATACAGGTATACGACATGCTCTAGGGTTGCCACGGGGGGAAGAAACTCACAATTTCAATTTTACAGGGGAAATTGATACTGCTCTGACAGAATGAGCTACATAGCATGGACAGTGATGAGAACATACTCATCAAAGACAGTGATGAGAACATACCAGACAGCGACGACNNNNAAAGACAGTGATGAGAACATACTCATCAAAGACAGTGATGAGAACATACTCATCAAAGACAGCGACGGCAACATACTCATCAAAGACAGTGATGAAAACATACTCATCAAAGACAGCGACGAGAACATACTCATCAAAGACAGTGATGAGAACATACTCATCAAAGACAGTGATGAGAACATACTCATCAAAGACAGCGACGAGAACATACTCATCAAAGACAGCGACGAGAACATACTCATCAAAGACAGCGACGAGAAACATACTCATCAAAGACAGCGACGAGAACATACTCATCAAAGACAGCGACAAGAACATACTCATCAAAGACAGCGACAAGAACATACTCATCAAAGACAGCGACGAGAACATACTCATCAAAGACAGCGATGAGAACATACTCATCAAAAATATCAAAATGTACATGTGCTCCATTCTCTTAATGATTTCAGCAAATGAGAGCAATTTGAACTACAGATGCTGAAGCAACCCATAAACCACTGGTCCATAACCACTGGTCCATAACCGCTGGTCCATAACCACTGGTCCATAACCACTGGTCCATAACCGCTGGTCCATAACCGCTGGTCCATAACCACTGGTCCATAACCACTGGTCCATAACCACTGGTCCATAACCACTGGTTCATAACCACTGGTCCATAACCACTGGTCCATAACCACTGGTCCATCACCACTGGTCCATAACCACTGGTCCATAACCACTGGTCCATAACCACTGGTCCATAACCACTGGTGGATGAGGGGAGGGACAAAACAAATGCTTTGTTTTGGAAAACTAACAAGTGATTTTTTCAAAACGAGGCCTTAAAAGGCTACACATTTGGTGGCACTAACCCCCCCTCCCCCAATTTGTTTTGGTTCAGCTCTCTCCCAAAACATAACGTCAAACACACAGAGTCCCTGGGAAATTAAAAACCTCAAATTTATGATGTAATTTTGCACATCTTAATATAATGTGCTTTGACATCTTCAAAACATTCCAGACCTTTTTTATGAGCAGTAGGTGCACATTGCAGTGGTACACATTTGGCAGGCTCATAGAAAAACAAAAGTGAGATTTCTTCTGAAATGAATTCCCACAGAGTCTTAGTACGTAAGAATAAAGTACTTCACAGCTCACATGAACATGACCAGCATGTCTGCTGCCCTCTAATGGTCTCTAACTAGTCCCTCACAAGAGAGAAATCCTAACAAATGAGAACCCATTCCATAGCTCTGCTCAACTTTGTACGAGGATAATCTTAGCCAACTTCTGCCCCCCCCCAAAAAAAATGCTGTGCTTACCGTCAGCAAAATGCATGGGTTAGCAGGGAATTTGGACTAAAGTGCAAGCTTACCGGTACACCCTGTAACTGTGGATGTTTAGGTCACGTCAGCTCAGCATTTGTGTGCTGGTGCAGTAAGCACAGGATTGTAATGCTAAGCGTATAATTCTGTGATAAGCAGAGCGATGAAACTGCCTCCTGATCTAGGCATCACTCTACTACGTTCAGCAGTAATCTATTAATCACTACTTTCTACAAAAGATTAACAGACATTTTTTTCCAATCTCCATTGCCAAGTTATTGTCTGATGCACACCAAAAAGCCTACATGCTGATGACATCACACTTTGTGAATATGTTCCCTTTCCAATGAAGCCAGTGAGGGCTCATGGCACCCTGAGCACCCATACGAAAAGGTAAAGAGGTCTGTGATGGGGCTCGCCCCACCTTATCACACCCCTTAGTACAACATATGATTTTTCTAAGCAAAACTAAGCTGAGAAGTGAGAACCCACAACAAACAACACAAGCAAACTTTTAAACCATTTCATGCTAAGCTAAAGTTGGCCATAATTACAGGAAATGTCAGTGTGGCTCACCTTGTTTTTTGCATGAAGTACAGAATATACATTGATGAGAATAATATTCTTTTCAATCTCAGCCACATGAAACACCAATACACTACAGTTCTGCCAATACTTGGAGGGGTCACTATAAAATTTTAATAAAAAGCATTAAGAACTACACAACTTTACCCATGTGGAATTTTGGCTTTTGCCACAAAAATATATACTGATTCTATGTTTGGCACAACAAATGTGAAGCTCATTTTTTTCCTGCATATTTAAGATCTACATAACCAATGAACAAGCACAAAAAATTCTTGATACACGATAAAACAATGTATTCTTGGAAAGAGAATGGTCTGTGATGCTGGTTATTGCAACGTGATACCGAGGTAACGTGTTTATGTAATTGATTATAAGAACTTCCAGGATGCTGGTGAACAGGACTGCCAGTAGTCTTCCAAAGGCAATTCTTTTTTCCGAGAAATCAGTGGCTGAGTTTGGGGCAATAAATGAATTTTGACCCGGCCCCAACAATGATGAATCTGTGCCTATAGTCCACTGCACTACGGTTAAAAACTGCACTGAACTACCACTCTCAAACTGCTACTCTTATCTGCATGATTCTATTGGCGCAATTGATGCATAAGGAAAGAAAATGTAAAAGGCTCAGTGCAGATAAAGTGGCACGTCTTGTGACTACATGTGGGTGACAATACTGTGCAGCTCCTTGAAATCACAGGAAAAAAGTGAAATTCAAATGCTTGTTACATGTACTTCGGCTTAACATTTGTGTTGCTAAGATGGTCAAGTGATGATTGTGAAAGCTGAGCACTGTACATGCAATCAACCAGATTACCCATGTGGATTCAGCTCACTGGTTACTTAGTGCTAAACACTGCTGCCAATAAAGGACATTTCAGTGGTACGCAGTAATTCTTCAGGTGTGTTAACAAGCGCATGGGAACCAGCGAGATAAGAGCTCCAAGTTCGCACTAGTTCCCACACTTCCCTTCTCAAATTTTGGGGGTGTATTGCCTACTGTTTAGGGTCTGTAGCTTCTGATCACAGGTGGGGGGTTTGAATCCAACTGCTGGCAGTATGTTGTGGCCTTAGTATGTTGTGGCCTAAGTCACCTCACCTCTGTTTGCCTCTCTCCACCCAGGAGTATAAATGGGTTCTAGCATTATCATTGGGGAGCCACCTGTGATGGGCTGGCACCCAATCCTGGGAGGAACAGAAATATTGTCAATCATTCTATGTCAATGAAACCAAAGATAAACACCAACATGATGGGCCAAATGGCTTAGGACACACTTTGCTTTCAAATTCCACAATGTTCCTGAAGGACCGGAAACCAACATCCTCAGCTTGTTATTAGATGGATTACTGACTTTCCTGGTATGCATTCTGTACCAGGGAAATGCCCATAAGCTTCACACTGCCTCCTTGCTGAGCAAGATCACACCTGATGCAGTTCACTCCCAGAGTCCCTAGGGGAATCCAGCAGCTGGCCATGACAACACCCTCTCAGATCTGGTGGGTAATGCACAGCTTTGGTCATGTACACAGTCACATTTAGAATCTCAATGCATCTGTGTCCATCTAATTGGATGTGTTAACAATGCCAACCAACCTGTGGTAAATGAACATGTAAGCTTCCCTTTCTCTAGTATTGTTAACATTGTGACAATGGATGTCTTAGATCTTACATGAAGAGGAACAGGATCTCCAAGTCTTTCTTCCCTGTACAGGCCAGAAATCACAAGAGGGAGCCCTGCGAGGGTGCGCCACCAGTTGTGGTGCCCCCCTCCAGGGGCCGCATGGGGAACATCAGCACCTTGGCATGCATGAAGGACAGGCTAGGCAGGCCATCTAGGACACGGTGAGCCTCGCTGCTCAGGCCGGCCTCCCGCTGGCTACGCTGTTGGACCATGGAGGTGGCCGAGCTCTTCAGGATGGCGTCCAGCGGCTTGTGGGCCTTCTGGACCGGGAGGGGTTGGGCAGGGCCCGACTTCTCCAGTTTGAGGATTTCTGGATCCAACGGCGGCGCTATGGGCAAATAGCAGAGAGTCACTTAGGTGAATTTGAGATATTAATAGGCATCAAAAATGATATTCAAAGCCAGGAACAACAGTGATACATATATTTCAAAAGCACACGGTCAATTTTCTTGTCAATGCTGGTGCTGAAAAGGTTAAAACAGTGCATCAATGTATGCAGATTGTATGCACTTCTGGCTCTAATGAGAGAACAGCACCTGCATTTAACAGGTCTTGTTGATTGGGTAGTGTGCTATCTTACGAGAATACACAAGGCACCACACCATACACCCTATTGTACTTTTTCCAATGAACAACACTACAACTCTGAATGCTGCCAAATGTCTAACAATGCGACTAATCTAGATCAAGAAATCACAATTAATTGTTCCATGCACCCAGGAAAACCTGAATATGTGAAGTCCATCCCTGGCAAGTTCAATCAAAAGCTGTAGTTAACAATAGTTAAACTCACACAAATTACAACTTGAAAGTTTGACATCTGGTCACTTCTTCTTAAGTACAACCTGTACAGCTCCACTGTATAATTCATTATCGGCATATATCATAATGTCCAGACTTGTTTGTATAGTAATATCAGTGTGCAAATATGAGTTATATTACAATCAAACGCAAGTTAACACAAGTGCTTGATTGACTTTACTCTAGGAATGTGCCAACTACAGCAGCCTCAACAGATGCTAAAAAATAACTAAGAACATATTTTTGTTCCTTCTTGATCTCTCAGTCAGCTCCGAACAAAGTTTTACTGGTAAGTGGGTTAAAAATTCTGTTCAGGGGTCACATGCTTTTAAGATGATACCAGAACAAAACTCCCAAAATTCAACAAAATAAACCATGCAACACATGCTTTGAAAATACATGTAACCATGTATAGCTTGCAAACTGTAAGATAACCATGGAGTCACACTGAGGCATTCACATTCTGAGCGCCAGCTGGAAAGCAAAGTACTGATTGAAAATTACCAAAGAAGGTGCCTAGCACTAATCTCAATACATGGTGCCTATGTGATTATTTTATGTTATGCTCAGCAAGTTTAAAGGCGTGCCATCAGTGCTTTACTTGAATACTGTGATTATACCTGTAAGTGCGTAGCAAAGCATTTAAAAGAAAATTTGCATTATTATCAGCAACAAGTTATCACAGAAAAGTTGAGGCCAAAACCTTCCCAATCTAACTCTACCCCGTTTACTGGTCGTTCAGCCTCAATGGAGAAAAATGTTCTTCTCCACAATTTTCATCACTGAAAGATTCATTTAGTGGGCCGTAATCAATCTCTTCAACTTTGTCTGGAGTTTATACATTCCAACCCCTTGCCCCAACTGAGGTAGTTTGTGAGACTGACATACCTTTTCGGCGGAACCACCCTGTTGAGTTGTGTGCAAAAGCATGACCAAAATGGAAAATAAACAGAAACATTGCAAGAAATGGGTGAGCAGGGTTGAAGGGAATGTGCAAGTTTAAGGTAATCCAGCTTGCATATTAATGAGCAATGTATAAACATAAAATAAATTAATGCCAATTATGCATAAAGAATCAAATAACTCTTGATGTTAGTGTCTATGCAATCCAAAACCAGTAAAATTAAACTTGGAAGAAAAGCTTTGGAGGGTCCTTGTGCAAAATATTAGTTAGAAATGTCCCCAGATGGGTTTAAAGGCATGCAAGACCTAAGACTGCTATGGGCAGGTGGCACGGCATTGATCTACAGAAACATTAGGCATGCACTGTAAATATACATGGATAAACTTCTGTGGAAATTTTTCTTTAAAAGTGCAGGTTCATGCTTGCAATAATCACATACTGTGCACCTCTTAGCTATGACATTATATTCATGCTTTCGTGGTTTTGACTAGTCTCTAGTGAGGATGTGCATACTTTGTCTTTTTTGCCAACAGCGACTTCTGAGTTAGCACTTTGTTCCACACAATCAAAATTGGTATGTAACCAACACTTCAAAACAAACAAGAGTTGTCTCTTTGGGGGTGGCTGTTAAAATGTGTCTGATGTAAATAACATGCTCGTACAGACATGAAACATGAGATTTCAAATTACCAGAATAGCCACATGTTAGTTGTTAGGTAAATGCACCATTTATAACATTTACATTAGTAACATGTGGTGTTAGTGAGATTCATTTGTGATTACTAGAAGTATGTGTACAAACAGTGATCATGGATGTACAAAGCACATTCATATCCCACCACCTCAATGAAGTCTCATTGTACGGTACATGTGATGTCTAACTGCCCTGCGATTAATTTTGGCACACGCAATCTTCAATGCATGTACATTTCCTCATAAACTTCCTGGTTTCATCTCTGAGGCTCCCGAGGGGAAAAAAAAAAAACACCGTCAGAATACCCAACAGGGACAGCCTAGTAACATAGTCAATAAGATAAGGTAATCAACCAGAAGTGATGTTCTGAGGCCCAGCTTAATCCAATATTTTTCCATTTATTCCCACACATTAATTCTGGTTATAAATAAAGGTGCAAGTTAGCTTCATCTGTCCCTCATGCCTAATAGTTCTCATCTGGTTTATACGCTCCTCTTAATTTCAACGCTTCTTAATCTATAACAAATTTCTTCAATTTAATTTCAAAAAGTGCCTTGACACACTACACTCTCCCAATGACAGTGTTAGTAGTGCTTTAGTGTTTGATTAAAAAAAAAATCCTACTAAACAGCTAATGTAACAACAAAAGAAAAACAGGTCGAGGAAAGCAATTATACAAGAATGGATTGCCCAAAACTAGAGTCTGTTAAACAAGAAACCCTTGTGGCAATGACGATAATGGTGGTGGTGATCCTGATGACAACAACCATGGAAAGTTATAAGACAAAAAAGATTGCGCTCAGTTTTGTACCTTGTGTATAATTTGATTTGGAAAACAGCCTCCATCCAATCTGCGACTTCCCTACTGCACATGCAATAACACACAGTTCAACGGGACATGACATCAGTGAGTGTAGACATACCACAATACACTACTCTACATTCATCCAACACCTGCTCAAAATCCCCGTTTGTGCAAAGTAAAAGCAAAGAAGAGTAGGCAAACAAAGACGGATGGTATTTGAGGGTTTTAGGGCCTTTTGATGATGTGGATGTTGTTGTAACTTGAATGAAAAACATCTTGTAAGTTGGCTAAGAACTCTCTGAAATGTCAGACAGTGATTACTGAGAAGGAACTGAGTAAATTTGTTTCCACAAGAAAAACAAATGCTCCACTTTAAAGAACAGGTGTTCTCAACGAGAGAGATCTTCATTTTTTTCCTCTATTTGGAAAAAACAGGAGCGCTGAATTCAAAGGACTGTCATTCAATAAATACGAGATGTGCACTGTCTGCATTTTCTATTCTTTAAAAAGATTTCTTATTTTAAATTGAAAATTGATCAAATCTAGCAATTGTTAAGAGGTGTCTAGTTTCGCTAACCCTAGACTCTCCCTTGTATCAAAGAATGTTTTTCTTAGGCATGGTAACATAAGACAAATCACTGTGCCATATTACATTTAGGTCATTTTGATCATTTGATTGGTGGGTAACTCATTTAAGGGCTGCACGCTTGCATCCCTAAGCCTGCGGCTGCTTGGGCCAATTGGCTAATATGAGAGTACTGGGTTTTTGTTCCACCTGACACGCACGGCTGAGCTCTGCAGTTGAAGCCTGAGGGCAAGGATTCCTCTGCTGGGTTCCCTAAAGCGGAGACTGTCCTGCATCAATGCAGCTCATTTATGTGGCTGGTGTTAAATCTACAATTTTTTCGTTTCCTTGACACTACTTAAGTGATGCTATACTTTTGATTTTTTATGAATGCATCTAATGTATGAATATACAGTTATTTGTTAGTGATTATGAAATTTTTTTTCTTTCATAAATACAGTCTGTACTGCTTCAATATTTGTATGCACTAACAAACAACGGAAGAAGACATGGGTAATAACTTTTGCCAAAACTTTTCTTGGCATACAAAGTAAATACTGTGTTTTTTTCAATTCCTATTCCAGATTGACAGCAGTCGGCCAGCATCAACCTTAGGCTGTATCACTTTCTCAGTCTGCTTACCCTAAATGCAACTAATACCAGTAGAAATAAGAAAAGTTTCATGACATGACCTATTTACCAGTTGTCCGAGAAAGATTTCTTTTGCACGTCTGATTCCAAAATCTTTTCAAAACTTTTTTTTTCATTTGCCTTCCTTTCAGGTCCTTTATTAACTTGAACAGATATAGGTCACTGTGAGAGAAAACCCGACTGCAAATAAGAAATGTGATCGGTTGAAATAGTAATATTCTTACTTGGAGGGTGCCAGGCACTTGCGACATCACCATCAATTTCACAGGGCAATGGCACTCCCATATAATAGACACACACACACTAACTGCTACACTATTTCAACCCGCAGAAAATTTGTTGTCATTCACGGGGAAGCCAGAGTGACTCGAAGGTGTTCTACTTTGAATCTGGAATGAATCCAGGAATCAGTATTCTAGAGTATCGGAGTCCCCCCCAGGGGAGAGAAATATTGGAAGGGCAATAACGGTAGGTTAACCGACAAAGAGTGAAGAGTCTGTGATTGAAAACATCTCTATATGTAAACCGTGTTGTGTTTAGTATGGTTGGAGCAAAAAATTTCATACCAAGGAAAAATTATTTTAGATAAGTTATAGGTTTAAAATTTCAATCTTGAGTACTGCTTTTGAATCTTTGCCTTTAGAACGGTAAAAAAGGCACTTCAGCCAAATTTACATGTACTCAGTTCTTGTAAATTCAAAGGATGTGAGAAACTAACAGTGATTCAAAGTGATTACAAAAAGGGGTGCGACTTGAGTACAAGGGTGGTTAGTATATATTTTCCTGACCACCAAAATCAAACTGGACAATACCTATGATTTCTTTTTTTCAAACTCCACGGTGTATGCCCCTTCCCCCCAAAATAACCCAAAGAGCCACCATGTGCTTGGTGTAACGGTGTCTGTGTTAAAAAGGTCCATGCCAATGGTTTGTATAATCAGGTGCATTGAGTCAAATGCATGTGTGTCACATATGGGAGAGAATGCAGGTGCCCAAGTGTTCAGCTGACTTAAAAACCTCTGTAGTGCTGCCCATTAACAAGATCAATTTGACTGTCAATCACTCTACGTTGTGGAAGACGTCACCTGCTGTGCCTTAACAGCCAGAGATGCAGGATGCCTCATAGCAAGTCATTAGACGAATTTATGGAATTTTTAAACATTCTACTTTTTTTCCATTCAACTTGTATTTATTCCGAAATAATTTCAGCTGACTTCAAATGAGACTCATATACATGTACGGTACGTTTCTTTCACCCCTATAGTCTTCTTGATCTAGCTGTCTATCAGCAATGGTTTCACTAGGCTACTCGTTTTCTTGCATGCTGAATGTGACACTTTCTTTTGGATAGACTGGAATTCAGAACCTAAGTTTGTGTGTACTGTTTCTTACTTTGAATGCTTGTTACAGTCACCTATGGGAAGCTTCGTTTTGACATTCAAGGTGTTTATGGCTGTCTTAAATACATGCATTTTTTGCCAATGCAAATCTATTACTACAAAAAATGGCTCTGTAGTGCATGCACATTAACTATGAAGTTCTCATGACTCATGGCCACTATGCATACAAGCATGCATTTTTAAGCTTTCCTGAGGAAAAATGATAATACATGTATGCATAATGTGTGCTCCTCTTTCAGGACACCCAAATGCCAAGCAGACAGTCCTGCTTGGTCCATGCATTACACAGATCTCAAGCAGGGAAATTCACTTAGTGCTGGGCTAGGTCGGGAGCAACATAAACAGAGCAACATCACCAACTTGATCATCTTACAGTGAACTAGCTTGAACTGACAAATAACACCCACAATGCTTTGACACATACATGTACACTATATTGTGAGGGGAACGTGTGACATGGATGGGCGGTTAGGGGGAAGGTCACAGCTCCACTGAATGAGAGGAAGGAATGAATGGATGCAAATGTTACCTGACTTATGTTTGGGTTTGGAGACAAAATGATTAGCTGAGGTGCTCCCTTCCTTGCTAAAGATATCCAGGTTAAGACCATTGGCTGTAGTGGTGTGTCAGAGGTCAACGACCCAACAAAAAAGTATAAATTAGTGTGCTGCCCACCAGAAATAAAAAGCGGATGCCCAGTCCAAGACAACCCATTCTGAGGTAACACCTTGAGGAAAAGCTACGACTAAAGCTCACATCAGCAAACCTCAGACTGGCATGCTCATTTTTTTGTTCTCCGAAGAATCAAGGTCAAATTTAGTCAACAACGACTGAAACTTCAATTTAATCAACTCTGTTTGGTCAGCTAAGAGCAAACCACCCTGGATGAATGGCTGGACTAAACAGTCCATTTGACCCAGCTCATCACTAGTACATGTACCTATGTTACATGTACATGTGTCGTAGTTGTCTTTCATACCACAAGCAGGGAACCCGACTTTGGAACACCACTGAAAAGAGTACCGAGCAATGCTTTTCCATTGCAAATATACACAATATTTTGTGTATAAGTGCAAATGACAAGGGTAAACTCAGATTGGGTAATCTCAGAAAAGAACTCAAGGTCTCCCCACAGATTAGATTTTTCCCTGAGAGCAGTTAGTTTGTTCGCGACACCTGCATTTTGACTAATTCCAACTCAAACAAACACAACACAACCAAAGAGGCATCTGACACCATTTCTGTGACAGGCAAAAGTTCAGTTTGATTCCAACACCCCACCCCACCCCCCAAAATATCCATGAAACCTACAATTACATGAAAGTGTCCATACAACCCTTATTTTCTGACTCAGAAAAATGATTTATTTTACAGGTTCACAACAGTATTACTTCTTTTTTTGGGGGGTGGGGTGAGGTTGGGATAGAGGGTGCACTGGCTCAACGATTGCCAACTGACATTTAATGCCATTCTGAATAACCTGCTGAATCCAACAGTTAGAATGGACAATCCTTTGTCTTTCAACAAAACTCTGACAAAAACTGTCGACTGTTGGATACTTGAGTTGTTGATTAAGCACAGATAGGTTACAAAATGTTTAGAGGCCAGGGCAAAAGCAATGCCTGGTTAACTTCGGTATTAAAGCACTTAATGCTGGGTTAATGGCATTAATATTGCAAAATCAAGCTAATTTTCTTTCGAAAAACATAACAAGATAAGGCATAATTGAGTGCCTCCTTTAGTGAGTTGAAACATTTCTATCCTTCTGAAAACATTCCTGTGTATTTTCAGGATTTATTTCTTTTTTGCCACTGCTGTGATCCGTTACTGTTACAGTTACTTTTGTACTTTTGGTTACACATTCCATGAAATTAACAAACTGAAACCATGTTGTCCAGGTTAATAGTGTAGTTTCCAGGGCAACTTAACACACTTATTAGGTTTGCATCAAAAGAAATAAAAACAGCAGCATGATTTTACAAGAAGCCTGAGCAGGGGCCAATCGTATCAGTTGGCTACGAGAACCTTGAACATATCCCTTCCCTCTTAATACAAACTTACCATCCAATGGATTAGTCAGGCCACTATTACTCCAGTCAAATTCAACCTTAGGAACTGCGTCCTGTAAGGAGGGGATGCGAGAAGCTAGTCAGACAAACATCAAAGAGATTGGCACAGACCCACTCCACAGTTTTGAATGGCAGGGTTTATCTTGCAGAATTTTTTACAACATGCAGTTCGACTGCAAGAATTTAACCTCTGGTATACATGTATTGTTGGCATGGTTGGCTTTAGTGTGAGACACAAAGACAGGTCGCACCTGATGACAAAATTAATGTTTATGTGTTGCAATGGTCCAATGCTTACCAACTCAACATGGGCGTCGGAGTGGGGCCAAGGGGTGTTTGTCTTCATTTAAAAAAAAATGTGTAATAAAAATGGAGAGAATGAGTAAAAAAGCAAAAGAAACGAAAAAATAAAGTGAATGAAACTCTCCAATTTGCTTGACAAGCCTCAAAATGGACCCCTCCTGTTGTTAACTGTTTTAGCTAATAAGTATTTTATCTCCCCCTCCCCCAGCAAAATGTGGTTTGCCCCCCTTGAAAAAATCCTGTGGACACCCATGCAACTCAAGCATGCCTAATGAAGAGTGTAATAAATTATTCAATGATATGTACATGAACCAGCGAAATGGTATTACTGTGAATGCAATGCAACAACATGCATAACGTGCCAAGAGTAACACATCAGATCAAAATAAAACCAAACAAAACTCACACATCATCCACAACATATATAGAAGTGATCAAGGGTACAAATTTTAAAAAACGGACTGAAAGTAAACATACAATTAAAAGAGTAATTTGACCTTGGCCTCATCACCTGTAGAATTAACATCTTGAAACAATCTCTTGAAATCTATCCTTCCTGACACACATCCTTGATCTTTAACTACAGACACATTATATAGCAACTAAGGTTCATGCAACTTTTTGGACCGAGTAATTTTCTTTCAGAGTGATTCTTAAGAGCAAATTTGTATGCTTCAATGAAGACAGGTACTTTTACATGAAACATGCAGTAAAATTTTTTTGGCATTGAAGATGTTCTGTTTGTTGGTCAAACCAAATAATCGTAAGGAGCATTTTGGCAAACGTTCAGGAGGGGGAGGCAATTAAGGGAGAACTACACGTACATGTAGGAATCCATTCAGCAAAGGGGGCGTGGAGTTAGAAAAGGTTGCTTTCCTTAGGTTACATCTGAATAACAGCTGGGGATAACATATTCACCCATGGGACATGAACAAAGCCACTAGCTGGCACTCAGAAGAAATCTCCCTCCCCTCCCACAGTAGCATCAAAATGTCAAGAGGACATACATGTACCGGTACCAGTCTAAACACAACATGACTGCACTCAGTAGCTTCACTAATCATGGTAGATGTCTAGTCTGGCTCCATGACTAAAGATTCCCTGACCAGTCTTGATAAAATATTAGGTCCAGTATCACCCACAGATATGAACAGATCATGACAAAACATGTCAAGGGTCACAAGGAAAGCCCTGGGTGGATCCTATGTTTAGATGTACATGGAGGCAGTCGTTAGCGGTCACTTTGAAAACATGCAAGACACTTCCAAAAATGCTTAGGAGGGGAGCAACATTGGGCTGCATATGGGCAACAAGCAAAAGAAACAAATATATCTCATTAAGCATACAGACACGGCTGAAAATACTGAACAGTGAAGATGCTATCTGAATGTGGACGGGACAAATAATTCGGCTATTTTGGGAAACCGGTCATGTGGACACATGTAGGGTAATACCGGACCTTTAATTCAATGAGAATAGTTGGAATCATCGGGTATGGTATCCAGACTAGGTGGATGTGTTATGCCAGCTATTGTACAAAAGGTAACTAGCCCTGGAAAGTTCTGAAAAATGGCTGAGACAATGCATCAGCCATCACTAAGGGCAACCTGTGAGAGTACTGTATGGGTGTTCATGAAGGGTGGAGTGAGTTGGGATGGGATAAGGTAGGCGAGGAAGAGAACTCAAAGTGCCTCATAGCACAGGTGGCACAATGATATGAAGGAAGGGATGCATTATTACCTCTGGTGTACCAGCAGGGGTGGATCCTTGCTCTCCCTCGGGGTTGTCCTCCACCGCGCCGCCACTGCCCATGACAGCTGGCTTCTCTTGCTTCTCTCCAGGCTTGCTCGGCATCAACATCCCCAAGTTGGGTGCAAAGATGGGCATCCCAGCCTTCTTAGAGGCCAGCTGCGAGACAGGAAGAACAAATGTATAAACATGTAATAAACAAAATTGACGAGTTGCATAATTGTATATAGTTGATGAAGTCTCACAATGGCACAACTTGAGAAAGACTAAAAGACAAAACATGTCAGATGATGTCTTGCACAGCAGTTGGCATGCCTTCTGTAGTCCCTACTCTCTCTTGTCTGAAGCAAACCACTGCGTAAGTTTAACAAATATTGACTTCCCTGGGTAGTGGCTCTTACGTACTCATGACGTCTTTAGTAATGGGAGGTCAGCTTCATTTACGGTGCTCCTACAGGTAAAAAACGTCCTGGCGATGGCGGATATCTGAACATCACATCCTGGGGAAATTAGCTTTCACGCACATACACATTCCTAGCTGACTACCCTAGAAGGGCTTGCATAATCACCAGAATGAGGTACATCTGTCTTGCCTCCCAATGGTCCTCTCTTCTAATGACTGATGTACGTGTATAATGGCCACTCTTCTTGCAGTTAAGCTTGGCCATTTAGTTGCCATTTTGGCAACCAACTTGCTCTTCACATATCAGCTTGGCATTATTACGCCAACTGCAATGTGGCTACAAGAAATGACCTGCATTGACGGACCAAGTGTGATGAGACAATTACCATAGACTTTGGCTAAATACAGTGCAGCAAGAATACTTCAGCTTTGTTTTCCAACATATTTACTGTATATTTACGTAGTTACCCTCTCTCTGTCAATAAAAAGGGGTCAACAGGTACTCGTACATTGTACAGTTGGGGCAAAAAGTTTACAAACACTTGGTAGAAAAACAGTTTTCCTCAATTTTCGCTCTTTGAAATGGTTTTACCAACTTCTATTTACGAGGTCAGACAAACAGTATCCCAACCTCATGTTCACAGTGTGTACTTCAATTGGAAATACTCTGAGACATTTACAAGGGTTCCAAGTATTAACCCTAACACTCCTCAATCCTTCACCTGTTGGAGAATTGAGGACTGTTAGGGTTAATATTTCTGAAAAATCATTCAGTGCAAATTTACATTTATCCCCTTACTGTCATTCAAAAACCCTTCGGAAAGTGGTCTACCGCGACTGTGAGAAATGACAAAACATACAGAAAATGATACTAAATATTAGGGTTAGACTACTTACAATTTTGAATTTTTTTATAAACATAAATATGAATCATATGTGTGTCCCTGGGTGATTTTATATGAAGCATACAACATGTACGTTAAGTAGAGACCATCTTGTCTGTCCTCACGAAAAGAAAAATTAGTAGGAATGAGTAAAGTGGTGAAATTCGAGGAAAACCGTTTTTGTTCTACCAGGTGTATGTCCACTTTTTGTCCCAACTGTACATGTACGATGACATTTAAAGAGATGTATGTAAATTCCCAGATTTAAACATGTACATGTACTAGTTCTTCAGAACTTCAGTCTTCCTTTGATGGCTGACTGCACTGCAAAGGAATCCAAACCATGCCACCAGTCCTCCCTCATCCAAACGTTCACACAACTTAAGTGGTAAGGGTTAATAAAGGCACCTGGGTTCCCATCAACCATGCCTCGTGGTAAGGCAAACCTCAATAAACTGAACACTGTGAGTGTATAGAACCACACAGCTACAGAGTAGTTCAGCAAACACTGTACACATACAGTACATGTGCCAAAGTCTGACCTGAGAGGAGAAAGGTATCCAGCTTGGCTAATCGCATTACAAGGATACATAGTGAAACAAAGTGCAATCTCTCTCTATCTCTCTCTCTCTACTGCTGTTGGCCAAAAGAATTATCAAATAAGACATGGCAATTCTAGCCAACTTCAAGTGATTTGAGACATGAGATGGAGGAAAAAACAGGCCACTGAGACAAATTTCTTTTAACTCTTGCAGCTGGAATTTAGGAAATGTTTGCGGTGCACGTGCCGGTAGACAAGATGCGTTGACCCAATTTCTAAAGTCAAAATGGTGGGAGCACGTACCGTAGTGAAGAAATTCAATTAAGCTGAAATTTCAAGCGACTTATGCAGGATGCCATCTGATGATCTGAGTACTGGAGGACTCCCAAAGTATGACAGCAATTTCTTGTCTCTGTATCAAGTCTTGAAGTGAACTGTTCCCAGGATTGTGTTTAACGGTCTATGTTTCCATGACAAACAAGTGGACAAAAACGTGTCGGGGGCGCATAAAATAAGAGAGAGAAATGAGAAAAGGCAATTTGGCCAGCAGCCAAATGCAAAGTTGATACAGGTGATTTTTCAAGGCACGCACGTCTTCTACTGACGACTTGCACCACATGGGCAAAGAATGAATCCAAATATGTTGACAAAAGTCTCTAGGGTTAGACAATGAAGACAACTATGAAGGTGGGGGAGGGGGAAAGGAGCCTCTCCCATGGCTCAGGTTTCCGAGAGACGTGTGAAAAGCTGTGGAAATCTGAGCAGCGGAGGCACATGGCCATGAATAGCATCATAGGGATTTCTGACACACAAAATACGCACCGTTATGCTCTGATACACACACCTTGGATCTGTCCCACTTGCACCAATGTTGAACTAAAAAAAAGCCTCCAAGTGTGCATTGATGTGAATATATTCAATGAACAGACTGACGGTGAAGGAGTTGCTTCAAATATGAAGGGGGGGAATCCTATTCAATTTTAGAAGTTGGTTTTTTGGGGGATATTGCAGATGATGACAATGAAATTACTGATTACACCAGTACATACATGTACTACGATGTGGGACTGTGCAGGGAACAGGTACACGTACATACATGTATGCACATGTACAACGCATTCATGTGTAGTTATCTGCACAAACCGTGCTGTTAAGTAAAAATTCTCTTCTCACATCTCCACAGAAATTTTAGCTTAATGCGAAACTTAAGAATGCTTTTATACTAGAAGAAGACTAAATCATAATGCAGAAAAACAAGCTGTGCATTGTGATTATCCCTGACCTATCTCTAGACGTATAGTCTTAGCAAACACTGTGAATACTCTCTACCAATACAACAAATTGGTCATCATGTGGCATGTACTCAAATGTCATTTCATACAATCTCTAGTCACAGTGCATAGGAACAACAGTTTTTTAAAATGTAAAGGTACATCTTTTGTATTATCAGGTAAAATTTCCATTTTCTCCTCCAGTTCTCTCCAAATCAGACACTTCAAAACACATGGAAGACGCCGCCCTGACCCCTCTTTTTAAAGGTCAAAGGATTGGTTATACAATACATGACTTGAACAAATATTAGCTTTCATGTGTATTAATTTTGGACCCCACGAGCATTTACAGGTAGGACAAAATAATAAATCAGGAAAGAAAGATGAGAAGAACAGCATAAAACTGACACATGAAACCCCACAAGATGTTTTGGCTAGAAACGTCCCGAGATTTCTTTTTTCAATATGAAGAGTAAAAGGAAGATGCCTACAAGAGCGGATCTTCAAATCATTCAGTGCAGATAGCATCTCCTCGGGGCAAGCAGGGGGATCGTGTGTGTGCACAAGGTTAATGAAGAAATCTGGAAGTCTTGACGGGACAGGTCGGGCTTCACACTGTACGGTACATGTGCACTGTATGTCAGCCTGCGAGCAAGAGTGGGCATCTGATGCTGAATGGATGGTCGTTTCAGGCGGTCACATCTGGGATATTGTTTTTGAGCAATGTCCTTGGGATTTAAAAACTGATACTATGAAAACCATTACTGAGAAAAATAATCAGAACTTTTCAACATAAGTAACACAAACTTTTCACTGTTTAGTTGAAACTGTTTTCTTTAATGAAAACAAAGTTTACATAAAATAAAGTGACTGTGAGTGTGAAATAGACTGCCCTTAAAAAAAAAAAAAGAGCTCCCCTGACTTTAATCACATCAGGAAACCTGCGGTACATGAACTCTGTGCTACTGCTATTCTAATGCCATGCAGTTATAAGTTTATGAAACATTCCAATAACTGAGTCATATTACACATACATGTACATGTGTTAGTGTACACACATGTACATGTATATTACCATAAATCATCTGAGACTGTATGCAGTTTCCAATTAATTGAAATCTCAGGAGTGTATGAATGAATGCTGAATCTATACAATATAATGCCTACATGTAGCTGGGTGAGTGAGCAAGGCAGCAGAAAGCAAACACCTGCCTGGCTCAGTTTTTTTTTCTCTAGGTACATGTAGACTGTGAAAGAAAATACAGATTTATTTTACACAGTGCTTCATGCACCACACATGTACAATGTACACGTATGTACACATGCAGGTCCGTGCAGAGGTATGACCAGCCAATGACACTGCAAACAGGATCACATAACTATGGCCGCGTAAGGGTTGCACTGCACTTGCACATAACTCTTCGCATGCAAAACACCCCCTCCCCAAAAGAAAGTTAGATATTATTTAACTATGTATCAGTATTCTAATCATGACAGGAAAATTACTTAAGCAGAAAATACCCTTGAAAAAAAGAGTTTCTTCATTACTTTATCACAACATTTGACCAGCAAATTAACGTAAGTCTCACTCTCTCAAACAATGAAACCAGAATATTAAGTTCATATCCTAAAAACCATATCTCATTAACACGTAAAGTAAGTTAAATGCTGCCCACGTGTCAACTTTGCAGCAAGTGAAAGTCACTACATCTTGTACATGTATCTGCAGGAGGAAGATGCTTTAATGAGATATTCACATATCATTCTGGACATACACTGACCCCTCAAAAATGTCACCCAAGGCAACTGTTGACTGCGCGCTGGTTCAATTCTGACCCTGCACATTCACTGATGATATGACAACTACAGTAACATTTGGCTCTTCCCACATAAGGGTCTGGTATCCTATGTCACAGTCATATTTTTCCCTAATGATGATTTTAGAAGTACATTCACAAGTACGATTGGGTGTTACTACAACAGCGAAAGAATAAGTCACTACATGTAAGTGTTACAAAATCTCACACAACCATCAAAATACCAAAATAATAAACACTTCTTCATGTTGTATTATTAAATGCTACTGGTAAAATGAAATTTATACAACCACAACAGTAATGGAGACAAATGTAAAGTTTGAGGTAAACAAAACCAAGGGTGATATTTCTGCAAACTTTGGCCACCCATAGGAGTAATGGGCAACATTAAAAGGGTTGATAGGCACAATGTGCAGGTACTTACAATGTTCCTAGAGTCCACTCCTAGAGATCCCAAGAGTTGCTTGCTGTTACCTGACTTGGCCCACTGGTAACCCAGCGCGTTGGTTCGCTCCAAGTCCCTCAGGCAGTTCCACACGTTGCCTTGCTCATTCCTCCTACTGTAAGGGAGTGAACGACAGGACAGAGGCCTAGAATTAAAGTCAGCATCTTTGGAATTTCTAGTCTCAGAAAAATGGGAGGGAAAATATTGGCATATGTCAAATGCCAAGGAATGTAATGACAGCTGCCTCGCAGGGACGAGTTGTTTATTACAACTGCCTGTCAGCAGAGCATCCACAGAAAAGAATGAGGAATCCTATCAAGACAGATGAAATATCTCACATACGGGATTATACACACACTGTGTCAGGAAGGTCTCATTGGTACCAATGGCAACATGTTTTCCCCTCAGAATTGTTTTTATCAACACGCACTACAGTGGAACGCTGCTATACCAAACACCGCCATATAGAACATTTGGCTGTACTGAACATCATCCTTGGCCCCCAATATTTTGTGCACAAAATCCACCGAACATTACGTAGTTGCAAATCAATGGAGATTAGCCACAGCATGCATCAGAGATCGATCCTAAGCGGTAGCTTCACGACTTTTAGGATAAACTAAATATCAATTTTGTAACTCAAGATTTAATAAAAAACAAAAATAATTAACAGATACATTTCTAGAAACCTCAAACATGAATGCAACGGCAAAACATCACAAAAACAGCAAATCATAGTAACACAAGAGGGTGCACTTCAGTTAAAAGAGAGAGGGCGCTATTCAACATGGCAACGAAACGTTCAGCGGTCAATTTCGCTATACCGAACGACCCCTGTACTGAACATTTACCGTGGACCCCGTGGTGTTCATTACAGCGGTGTTCCACTGTAGTGCCATGTCCACATATTTATATAATGGGTTTTGCCCTTACCCAAGGTATATATTACTAAAGCAAGCAGTGTTCATTAATATATACGTTGGGTAGGGGCAAAACCCGTTATATAAACTAACATCTCCCCAACGCAAAAATACATCTTGAAAATAGTTCACAGTACCCACTGCTTCAGCTGACTCGGACCGGCCAGCCGATCCCGGCAAGCTCGGTGGTCAAGTGGTTAAGACGTCTGCACTAGTAAGCAGGAGGTCGTGGGTTCGAGTCCCACCCGAGTAAGCTTGTGACTTTTTTCGCAAGCTCTCGGACAAGCACTGAGTATACAGTGTTTATTAATATATACCTTGGGTAAGGGCAAAACCTGTTATATAAATTAACATCTCCCCAACGCAAAAAAAATACATCTTGAACATGTCCACATACACGTGTACAATGCTCTCCATTACCTCAATACAGCGCTAGAAATTCTGTGCATTTATGAGCCCAGAATCTTCTATTATCTAAGCTCAAATACCTTGCTGCCTCATGCAATGAGCACATTAGGCACTGCATGAACATATGCCTATGTTAAATACAGTACCACTGCACTAAAGTCAATTCCATAAGGCAAGCTAAGGCTGTCTGATTTCATCAAGTCTCTGCTACCGACACCTTCATGACAAGAACTTTCAATACACAACTTGCATTTTCCTCCAGAGAGTTTACGTTCTCTGTGAGATTCAATTTGACCAAAGAGGCTTTGCTGGGGACTGTTTGGCTGCTTGTGAATATCTCCATATTTTTAATAAGAAAAATGAATAAAAATTTTAAATGAAATTAAAAATAATTAATTAAATTAATAATAAATTAAATATCCACTTGTGGGTACGGTAGTTAAGCCACATTGGGAAAAAAGCATCTATTAGACAATACAATTCTTCCCTAAGGAATTACATAAATTGCCCCTGCCCCCAAAATATTTCATACAATTCATCAACTTGATGACAGGGAAAAGAAGGCGATCCATGGGAACAAAAACTCGCTGGCCCTTGGGAAGAGATAATCTGGCCTTCAAAGACGAAGCCAAAAATTGCCCTGAAACTAGCAGACTAAATTTGGATAACTTTGGAAGAGACCTACCTGTTCTGATCACAACAAAATGACTGATTCCTGCCGAGGATACAAACAAGTAAATTTTGCGATACTGAAGATTTGTTTACAGGTTAAGTTCACTACTGTTCACTTTCGTCTTAAGCAGCAAAAATTTGGCAGCTACACGTAGAATTAAAAAATAACAGTTTATTACACACAATACTCCCCCAATCAGGGAGAGTGCTCCTTTCCTCACGCAAAACAAATGCTGCATTTAAACAGTGTAAACACACGAACAGTAGATCAGTGACTGAACACTGCCTTGCTGGTATGAAGAAACTGGTCAAAAGAATTGAGCAAACAGGGCAATGCTGGGTCGTCTCGCACAACACATGCACTGGTACAACTGCATCAGTGAAATGACTCTGTTGCTACTGATGACCCAAAGCGTGCACGTACGCATGTAATACAGTGTACCTGCAGTTTCAAGAATGGTGCGTAAGCACACAGTCCAGGGGTAGGCTAATGTGCTCACTGAGTCCGCCTGTTTACTGAAGAAATTGAAAACTCCACACATGACGGTACAACCATAGGCACTCGTATTTCAAAACAACTTGAGAATCTCCACTACCATGACTACACCTCGGATCACAATCCACACTCTTGTGTTGACATGTATGGCGACCCTAAGAAATCCAATCTTTCTCAGAATGATTTTCAAAAGCAAAAGGAGGAAGAATCAGAGGGTATCCAGCGAATAAGCCCTGAATGATAACAGTGTAAGATTACCGCATCCAGTTTCGCTCTTCTTTACTTGGACTTTGTGGACAGAAAGATCGCAATATGTGATATCACACGGGCACTCGTAAATTAATCAATGATGTGATTTCATTTAGATAATACTGAGTCACTGTTCGTACAGCACTTGCATTAATTAGCATACCAGTATCAGTTTCACTGTCATATTCTCTGTATCAACAACCTTATGGGGGCCCAATAAATTTGTGCCGTCTATGCTAAAAAAAGAAGCGAATTTCCACTTTGATAGAAGTGCAAGGGGAGATTCTAAACAGCCCCTGTGGAGGGCTTTATTTGTCAAAGACCATTAGCACCTGAAGAAATAAGCAAAACTTCAATTGCATATACGGTACTTATACAAGTGCGTATACAAGTGCTGCATTTCTACATCCATTAACATTTAGTACGAACCCTAATCTGCAATAATTGGGAATGTGGCAGTAGCACATCAAGTACAGTGAAGTGGTGGAAAGAATTTGTATCCTCGGGATGACTGTGTAGCTTGCTCTGAAAAGGCAGAAGGGTTACATGTATTTCACAAATTAGGGGTCCCTTGTTTTTGTGTCCCTGTCACATCTGACAAATGATTTTGTAAGTTCAAGAGTGATGAATTAATGCAAATTACTTGCCAAACAAATAACAAAAGTTTAAAATCAAAACTGGTGATATTTCCATGTCAAATAACAAAGGTCAGATGTAACAGGGACACAAAACTGTCACACTTTTGGACCCCTAATTTCTGGAATTACCCAGAACTGAACCTAGCTTGGCAGTGACATGAAAAAAGATCCTGGGGTTAATGTTTAAAATCTCATTTTGCATAAATTTGCAATTTTGTGAACTCATTTAAGTGATAAAATCTACAATAATCTAGTTAATATCAAATAACCAAAGACTTCTGATGATTACTTATAAACTTTGGTTTTAGTGGGCGCTAAAAATCCTATCATTATTGAAGTGATTCCTTATAAGATGCAATTTTCTCCTTTTCAGCCTGCCCTTCTAAATACATACAGGAATTAAGAATTAAATGTAAGTGAAACGACATGCACAACTTGAAACATAATCTCTCTGAGACAGAATAGATTCATGGAAAAGATGTGCACATCGCACAAAGGGCTTCATCAAGTAACACATTCATTCGATGCTCCATGTATGTAAGACAAGCATTCCTGAGTTATACCAAATATTAGATACCTGAAAATGTTGACTGACTTACCGTACCTCATGCCAATATTTGATTGTTCTCAGTACATGTAAAAACAGAAAGGACACACTAAATCTTTCTGCTGCTCGCTCAGTCTTCTCGAGTCAAGGAAGGCGGGGTTGTTGTTCTTCTCAAGGGCTTCTCCATCACCCAACTCTCCTATCTCATTGCATCCATTCATGCCATCCTCAACGCAATCACTCATTCTTGATTATCACATTGGCATGCATGACTTCATTCCTACTTACTCCATCTCTCTATCTCTCTCTTGCACTCTTTTGTATCACTCCCTTTTGCACCTCGGCCGGTCGGATATATTCCCTCCGCTCCACCCTGCTCTCCTCTTCCCTCCCAAGGGACCTGTGTAAAGTCATCCTCCAGAGTCACCAGCTTGGGCTATAAAGCTGAACGGAATAATCAATTCTTTTAACGGAGCATGGAGTGGCTGCCTGGCCACACCAACTGAGGCAATTTGGCACCACGATGAGGGTCAGTGATAATCAATGAAGCACTCAAAAGGAAGAAGTTTTCAAGAAATTTCTACTGCATTGTGCCTATGTATGGATTTTAAAAGGCATAAAAGAAAACATCTTCCCCACATACGGAGGGTATACATGTTCACTTGCACGATGCGACGTAAATGTACATACATGAATGATTTTAACGAGTACTGTGCTAACTTTGGTAAGGATGAGAAAGTGCCAAAATCTTCATAAACCCTTTCATGTTAATCACAACTTGCCTGAAGAGTTACAATATTTTACATACATGTACAGATAAGACGCCCCTAGAAAGTTTGAGAATGCAATGCAGGCCACTGGTTTTCCACAAAGTCTGGAATTTCGGAAGATTTAGGAAGTTTCCTTGTGCAACTGAATAAGGAACAGTGAATGAGTTGGCACGGCAATGAAAAGCAGCTGAAATTCAAGTGTCCCACTCTCCACATGTACATATACAATACAGGCACATCACTTCCCTGTACATGTACATTTACCGGTAACTCTCAAGTGAAAATGAGGCTGGCTGTGAGACTTCTGCATATCCCAGGAGTGCTTTAGTAATGAGGACTGGCACGTTCCTCCAGCCACTCTAATCAACCTAACGACTTCAAGGAGATGAAATTAATTTCAGGCTCTGCTGGTTATAAGAAAATCCAACTACAGTAGCGACTGCAAAGTTGCCAGTAATTTACAGGCGTTCAAGAATCAGTCTGTTCATGTATAGTGGGTGGCAGATCTGATCAGAGTAAAGGCTGGTTCATAATTCAGGTGTATGCAACAGCAAAGCAACTTTGACGTCACAGAAGAGTTGTAGCAAAATTTTGCTGGAGTTGAAATGCGTCCAACGTTTTAGAATTCGCAGCGCGAAAATCTGATCTGATGCCACACATTTGCACTTTTGTTTACTTTTGAACTAAGTATGAACTGCCCTTAAGGGTTGCACTCTTTTCACACACTCATTTGCATAACTGCAGTGTACAACCTACATGTAGGCCTACAGATACAAGTCTCAAAAATGTCTAGTAGTATTATGCCAGTAAAAAGCTTTGTGCATGTCCTTACTTTAAGAAATGAATGTACATGTATCAGACCTTCAGACAGTACACAAATACTAACTGCTTTGAGTTATACAGCAAAACAAAGGTGACCTGTTACCGTGCATTTTATTTTCCAGAAGCAAAGTAAATGCTCAATAGATCACTGAGGAAGGCTATACGTGTATATGTAGTTTTACTGTGAACCATGAGACAAAAGCAGACTATATTCATATTGTAGAGTACCAGAGTAAATACATGTGTGTCAAGCATACAAGTACGTGTGTAAAAGACATCAGTGCGAGAACCAGCACATGAATCAACATGTAGGGCCTGTGCGTATTCCGTTCATTTCCAGGTCAAAATGACTTCCTGCACGGTACTCTATAAAATATCCTCCACAGATTCTCTAAAGTTAGAAATGTCTAATTCAAATCTGGATCTTATTAATGCTGAAAACCCTGTACAAAAATTGTTCTTTAATAAAAAAAACATGCCTTCTACAAGATGCACTCATGAGAACACACAGAGAAGATGACCCCTCTGTGTCGAGTCAAGTCTCCTTGGTGAGGCATTCTCCTCCCCTACCCCGTAAAAAAAAAATCAAGAACTGAACTAATTCTCCCAGGACATTGCACAGTACTAACTTATGTTGAGCAAATGGTGAAGAAGCAGGAAGTCATCATGAAAGGTCTAGCTGAGGTTTGAAAGTGGACTCCAACCCTACACCAGCGGTTTTTGTCACAGAACCACAAAACTCACACTGGCCATTCCTATACATGTGCATGTACATACTAGTACTGTGTACGCTGGACATTAAGTTCAGTGTTGTAGTCAAGACCATCACAAGACAAGAAATAAGACCAGACACAAGACCAGACATAAGACCAGACACAAGACCAGTCACAAGTAACAGTGAGAACAGTGACAAAGGAATACTTCTGTTGCAGTTCATTTTAATAGCTTGTGACTTGAATTCGGATTTGGAGGTCTTGTGTTGGTCTTGTGCTGGTCTTGTGTGGTCTTGTGAAGGTCTTAAGTGTTCTCAACCACAACACTGATTTAATTGTATGCCATGTACATGTATATGTACATGGTCCTACTGCTAACTTCACAAAATGTTTGCAGATATTTTTTTTGGGGGGGGGGATTGGGCACTGGGTCACGGTTGTTCAATCAACTGCAAAGTAGTTCTGAAATAGGGTCTATCACTGCCCAAGCCGAATGCACCCTCTACAGGTAAATTGTAGTACACAGTAATTACACTATACACAGTGGACTGCCTTGAAAGAAACACCCAAGTACATGTCTTCAATCAATTTAACCCATCTACATTACACTCAACACATTTTTCACGTTAACACAAACATGGCACTTCCTTCACTTAAAATATTGTGTGTACATGTACATGTATATGCAGTATGTGCACACAGGAACTTCTGAAGTAGTCTGAAAAAATAAACCGTTTCACGGTACTCCAGAATCCTGCACACACACTCACACACATGGTACAATGTTTATCTTGCGTTAGTATTGAAACTATTCTTGGAGTAAGGTCTTGGTACACTTCCACAGTTCAAGTGATCCTCCATGTGGACTGATACAATAAAACAAGTCTACGCAGTGCACACACTGTATTGCATATGGACCCCTGGCACCACTTTGGTTACATGGTTACACCTACTGTACACGTATGCTTGTACATTGTACAAATACACGTACAGTACCAGCGCATTGTGGGTACATGTAATGCATTTCAATCAGAAGAGTCAACTGGCATGGCTGTTTGAGCACAAATGGTTACCTATTATGCCTGCATTTGATAAACTGCTGAAGTTATGTGGTAGCTTAGGGGCCATCCATATTTTTTAATCATGTTTCAGCAGTGAGAAAATGTACATACACGTACACTGAGACAGGGGATAAAATGATCCTGTGTACACTTTTCGACAAATGTGAAAAATGGTGATTAACTTTCACTCTGAATGTGCAGGGCAGATTCATCATACTCTACGCACAGGTACCAGTGCAGGTACATGTAGGCCTAAGTAGTTTCTAAGAAATTCCTGACAATTTCCATACACTTCAGAAATTTAGATATCTACACAAGAATCTAAAAATCCATTTCACATAGACTCAGAAACATTTCACATGTACACGTACATGTATCCAGAAACAGAGCATGCAAAAGCTGAATTCAACACAGCACAGTCATGCCCAAGCAAGCATGATAATGTGTGTCTACTTCTGACTTTTGTCAACGTCTGTGAGTAAGCAAGTCCCTTTTTTTTGCGGCCGTTGGGTAATCCGTTGGGAAAAATCCAATGATACTGTAATCTGCCCTGGAATGAGATCAGGCTTTAATGGCATATCGCTCCAGTGCCACGGTAACGCCACAACTAGTGAATCATGCACTGTGGGACGTGCACAAAATACAAGTACCTCAAACTATTAATGCCAGGCATGCTGTTTTAATTACGGGCAAGACAATACCCAAACTATGCTTGCTTATTCAGTTTTTGTTGTCTGTTGCCTACCCAAAGGTCACAGTGGGATCAAGTGAGATTGTAAAAGCTTTTGCACAGGGAATATGATAATGTAAGAACTACATGTACAAACCCCTCAGAAATGAGATAGAATGCCTAAAAACATGTCTTGCAGGAGGAAAGAGAAAAGTTGAATTTTACATTCATGATTTTACATTGTGTAGCTCTTGCGCGAGCAATATGTAATCCGGTAAAATGTTTTAAAAGCAAACTAAATTGTAAAATATTCCGAATCAAATAAACCGTATCCAACAAACATTTCAAATGGTGGCCTACTCGGCAGAGAAATCTGTTCTCTGAAGAGCTGTGCAGTTTCTACAATATGGCCAGGAGGAATACTTTTGAGCACCAGCAGTTTTTACGGTAGCATGGATAACAGGATCAGGAATGCAGATTTCTCATCAAAATCTGTGATAGAATACCCTGCACGGAATGCTCCAGGCAAGATGTGCACGCATGCACCCACATCATTTCTGCTGCTTAATGTCAATGAAAGCAACGTTCCATAAAATTTTTTTTTTTTTAAATCGGCAAAGCTACTTTTTGTACTTGCCTGGCATCTCGCTTGCCGGAGTCCGACATTGGAGTGTTATCCTCTGTCTCCTGCTGTCCCTTGACTACGATGTCAATCAGCAGGTCCACAACCAGACTAGCCGCTAGAGGTGACCCGTTGCTGGGGAAACATGTCTTGAATACCCTGTCCACCTTACTGCCGTGGGCCTGGAATGGAGAGTGAATTAAAACTGTGCATTCTGAAAGCCTATCAGAATAGGAGACTCACGGCTGAGCCTCAGAAGCCAATGTAATCTCTGGTTTAAAACTACCAATCACGGTATGAAATAATTAATGGTGAAATTTCTGAAAATAGAAAGGTAATTTGTAAAGAAACTGACTGCACAAAAATCCAACACACAGTATGAACAGGACCAGAGACTGCTATAAATAAGATATGAACAACCATGTACATCTAAATACCCTTAATATGCTTCATGTCTGCTTCTACATTTATACGTTCATGTATCTTTTTAAGTGAATAGTTTCATTTGATTGATTCCAAGTTATATACATGTACTTTCAGTGTTTAATTACTGTGTTTTGTCATTACTTCATATCATTATAGCTGTTGTATGTCAAAGTCACAAACTGTACATGTATGATGTGTAGTACATGTATCTATCAAACTAAATGGACTGAGCCATATCAGTATTTATGGAGAGCTGGAATATGCAAATCAAGTTGGCCCTGTACATTCCAAAGTAAATTTATTGGGATTTCTGACAGTGGTTTCATAGAAACTGAAATGCACATTAACAAAATGACATGTTGTTCATTTTTGGCTCTAGGTCCTCTGTATTTGTCTGCAATTTCCTTCTTTGATTCTTGGCCCTAGATTATACATGTATTTGCAATTAATTATGAAACCCAAAAATAAAAACACTGCAATCTTAAAATGAGCTCAACAAAAGAGAAAGAAAAGCCTGTGAACAGAAATACCCCTGCATGAAATGTTTGGAAAAGAACTACACAGCTTCAAGAATGTCATATAAAAAATCTCGACTAGCAATGCCTCTGTACCGAATCAAGCCAGTGGTGGCCATTTTACTGTGTCAAATACAAAGGCCATGGTTGGCTCGCTTGCCGTTGTAATTACTGATGCCAGGACCAAATTTGATTGTGATGGAGAGCAAGCTTTTGTATCAAATTGTACATCTGCTTTCGGCAGAGTAAGATGGCCGCCAGTGGCTTCAATGACCTCTGCCTGTTAATTAAGAGATTAATCAACACACAGATCTCTTACATGTATATGAAGTCCATGCACAGCTCTTTACTTCCAGGTGTAACTACCCGCTCACTGGCCACATGAAATCAGACCAGGGTGACAATCAATCACCACTGGTACCACACACAAAAATCACTTATTTGTGCACAACAGCTGATGTGCACAAGCAAGCCTCGAGGGAGATCATTGCTCACAAAACCGAACCTTCTGTTAATTCATAGAGCACAACTGAATTACCCCCCCCCACACTTGTAGTGTTTGCAAACCTATGAAATACTCAAAACGTACCCAGCTGTAGTATGGCAATGGGCCATACAAACTGTACATACAGTGTATAAATTTATCTCGCAGGTTTACATGTAGCAGATCTGTTGAAATCCACTGCCAGGATGGATTAAGCATTTTGTTACTACATGCTTGATTTTGGTTTGTGGCACAGTGGGATTTGGGCAGATTCCGGAAATTTACTGGAAATGTGCCTTGGGGTTTAATTTGAAAAATAGAACACATTCAGATCTTGTAAATTAACATGCTTGCACTAATGCTGCGGGATGCAAATTAGGCTAGAAAAAACAAACCTGTGATGAAGATGCTGAGACTGCACCAAAGGCCGAGCTGAAGTCGGATGGGACATCTTCCTGACTTCCACTGACTACATGAAATTTCCCCACCACTGGGGGCCCTGCCTGCTTAGTGCTTCCTTCCTGGAAGGTTCCAAAATCACCAAAATCATCCTCTTCCAGAGTTGAGGCAGAGGGTGGGCTTACCTGACGGGGAGGGGCTAGATTCAGGTAGGTGGGTTCTGTTTCTTGTATAGTGGAAGAGCTTGTGTGAAAAGTCCCAAACCCGTCAAAACTACCATCTTTGTGGGCTGGGGAAGTACTGTTGATCGGTTTCTTAGCACTGGACAATGGCCTCTCACCAAACGACTTGAAGTCATTGAAGTCATTGTTGTCCCCTTTGTGTGGGGTGACTTGGCTGTGAATTTCAGTTTCCTTCATTGTAGGCTCAGTAGTACTGGCAGGCATACTGTCAAAATTTCCCCAGTCATCATTTAGGGTGTCAGAAGCTTTTGACCCATGTTCAACTGAATACTGGGAGTCTTGCCTTTCAAGATCTGATTTGGCACACTCTGAGGCCAGTGACTGGTGGCTTAGGTTCGAGGTCTGAGACGGTGCCACATTTCTGATTTGCTCCTCCTGGGCACTGACTGAACTGAAGTCTCCAAATTCATCCTCGCTTAGGTTTTTAACCTCGCCTGTTTGGAGTGACTCACTGCCATTTTTTAACTCTGTGTTAAAATGCTCACCTCTTAGGTTTTCTCTTGAATTTGGCTTGGGTAACTCTTCAAGATGACTTTTGAAGTCAACCGTTCTGCTGTCGGACAATTCAGCAGTCTTTCTCTTGCAAGGAACATTTGAGCCCTCTGTTTTGGCTGATCGAAATGACTGAAAATCAGAAGAGTCTGTATCTTGTGAAGGGGAATCTGATGTGAATGGAGAAGGGAAATCCATGCCAGCATCATCACTGTAAGAGTTGGAGGAATTCGTACGCTCACTATTTCGGTTGAGATCATCGGTGGCTTCATGGTTTTCTCTAGTTTCCTGGGATGCTGGATCTTGAGAGCTTGAGCTTTGTAGATGTATGGATGGGAGATGTTGGCTCTCTGATTCACTGCTATTATCACCTATGACATCAATCTGGAGATGGGAAGAATTTGTGAAGTCCCCCCATGAACTGTCATTCTCATTAGAATCTGCTCCATTCGTGAATCCATGGAATGATGTAAAATTGGAGTTGCTTTCCTCCTTGACAAGACTAGCGCTCTGTGTTCTTGACACTGGGAATGATCCAAACTTGAGATTTTCGTCATTGGTATCAACTACATTTTCAGCATTTTTGTGCGACAGCTCAGTCCGGCTGCTGGAATCAGAAGTTGCAAAGCTACCAAATTCTTGGTCGTCGTCTTGAGGGTCTTCCTTGATGGGGAAGAAGTGGGTATCACTTGGTGCCACCGGTTTTGCCTTTTCTGGTGAGAAGCCGGCACTAGCAAAGGAGCCAAAATCATCATCTTCATCATCATCAAAGCCATCTAATGGAGGCGGAGAGGCTGAGACCATTGGAATGAAGGTCTTTGGAGTTGCCATTTTTCAAATGCTACCTGGATGAATAAAGAAAAAACACATGCAAGTAGAGTGTGTCACTAACTTTTTAACAATGACATATGCACATATTTACACACAAAAGACTCCAGAGTCAATCAGATCGACATGTACATGTAGTCAAAAAGAGGAAAAATGAATAGGACAATAACTTGCAAAAATCCATTTCTATTACAGTCCAGCCTAAAATCAAAATTTTTAAACTTCCTTTAGAAAGATACAGCCTCATGTAACTGCATACGACTTTCAACCGGTAACCTGGCACAATCAAGGATGCACCATACAAAAAGCTGATGACAGAAAGCAAAATGCTATAACTAAAAAAGTTCCCATAATTTTACAGTTTGAAGTACGGACTATGAAGCAGGCGATGCAAAAAAGCAGAAATTTGGAGGGAAAATCAAAACAAAAAAGGCTAAAATTGGGCGAAAAGCTGAATTCTCACACCCGACTAATAACCAGAGGTGCAAAGGTAAATTTTGCTGAGATTCAGCATGGAAGAAGCATAGGGAATCAAAGAGCTCTGCTAGCAAGACATTTAAACACATAACGCGCGCCCCTCCCATAATTTCACATATTAAATGATTGACCAGGAATGCATATTTTTTGGAAGACCGAGGCATAGACTTAAAAAAAAAAGGGGCACAAGATCTGGCCTTGGTCAATAAGCACTAATAACGAGTGGTATTATGAGAATCAAGCATGAACATCAAGACTACTTAGCAGAGGTATATGTATATGTACACGTACATGTTTGTAAGGATTGCATAAGGCCAACGGAAAATTATTTTTAAAATGACATGTGAATGGACAAATATCGGTATGATGATCAAATGAGCATTTCATAATACGACTGTCCTAACTTTTAGTTGCTAAATACAGTGTTTATGTAAAAGAGCGCATTCAATTAGGTGTTACTGTAGGATCAGCCAACTTTAGCAATAGAGATCTTTACAGATGTGTATCTGTATTAGGCTGAAATCTGAAAATTGACATCGAGTAACATTTGAACTGAGGCCAAAAACTGTAAACATTGCAAACAGGCAATGGGTACTGGACCAGGCACCAATCCTGGAAGCTTTTACTTGCACGGTAACTGAACACATGCAGTGTTTTTGCGGGACTTAGAAATTACATGTACATGTAGGGCCTATACCATCTGGTGTCATGTACATGTACCGTCATTGTGAGTTCGCAGCCTGTTCATGAGACAGAATTCAGACCTGAACTGCTATTTCAGACTTTATTTCTTTTAAAAGGTTTTCAGAGGCATGGATGAAGTAAGATGTCCCACAATTTAATGCTGGATTTGATAAAAAAATCAAACAAGATAGAGCTAATTGCAACTTTTTTGGATAGGGGTAAAAAAACTTGACAGCCTGCGGAATCAAACCTACAACTTGATGTTGGGAGCTACATGTATGAGTGCTAATCACTAAGGTTATGTACATGTATGTGCTCCCTTATTTCGTCAGGGGGATTGAATCCTAATGGTTTAATTCCAGCTGTATTAACAAACGATGTAGGACTGGTTCATGACAAATATTGCAACATAAGACCTGTGATAATAAGAAATATTACACATGTGTAATTTTTTTACAAATACTGTCCTTTTCACATTAATCTAACACTCCCCTTCTGGCCTTTACAAATTAAATTTTAGCCTCACATCACTGCCTGTCCAAATTTTCAAGCCCGTCCCACTCATTAAATTTTCGTATTTTTAATTTTATCCCCTCAAAAAAATGTATGTATTTCTACACGTATTTTCCTTACAAATTTTACAAATAAAAATTACAGTATTTTTACTTTTATAACATGGGCTAGATTCCTCAGTCTGTCACTATTTAACAAAATTTGCACAAAACAAGTAAAGTCCCTTAACCCTAACAGTCCAAAATCCTCCAATTTCAATACGATTTTACATACATGTACACCCTTGGGGGTTAGGGTTAATGTGTCCTTTTCTTATTTACTTGTCAGTTTTGACAGTCTCTACAAGCCCAACACTAAATATGGCACCCTGTATCCTCCAATGGTCTGTCCCCTCTAGTGTATAACCCATTACCCCATATTAACCATCCACATCCACCTTGTCTCTAAATCTCCCTCCAAAATAAACCTGTAATCATAGAAATGAGCAACTAAGCGAAGACAAATAGTCCTAATGTCCTCCAAAAACACCTTCCTGGGGCTGGTAGATCTAATTCCATTCCAACATTTACTGCCATGTTGTTATTTGTACACCCTGCAGCCACCACCACAAGAAGTTAGTGAGCGTACATATCGAATCACAACTCAGGGACTGTCGCTGAATGTGGAGAGGTCCCTTTATTTGGGGACAAAACCAGTCCCCCAAAACAGAGAATGTCCCCCTAAGTGGGGACAATTCTTTTTTCAAGTGGGCTTGTTGGAGATCTAGATTCAGCAGAAAAAAAACCCAAGGCTGCCGTAAAAAAATTCTACCCTTACTTCTAGGATTGTGAGATTATGCAATTTAGCATAAAAGTTGGGAAAAAGACTGTATCAGACATGTCAGAACAATATTTCTAAATATCAATCCTTTACAGACATGTATACTTAATCAGTGGCATAGTGCAAAGTTCATAAAACAATTGCCAATTGAATTGGAATAGGCCTAGGGTATCTTAAATGAATGGGAAATGTGGGAGAAAAAATAATAACAGTGCATGGATATTTTTGACCTAAGGCCACTTGGAAAAAAATGTCCCCTTTTATGGGGACATTCTCTCTTTTGGGGGGGGACTGGTGTTGTCCCCAAATAAAGGGAATTCTCCAAATCCACGGACAGTCCCTGAGTTGTGATCTGCGCCTCTACTGACTAGAGAGGTTACCAATAATACAAAATTACTAATGTTCCATGCCTGAAAGTACACGTCATGATTGACCCCTGAGTTCATATAGACTTGCATCTTTTCATCGTACACGTTTCACAAATGACATTTAGATTGTTCATGACCATCAGACCGTGTTGTTACACGCACGTCCGCACCGGCATGACCGGAAAGAAACAGAATGACACAAGACCACAAAAATATTGACTTCGGTCTTCGGACGATTTTGTCCAGCTCGCATCTATGGAAAACATATACTTACATTTGCACGTCCACATGGGTAGAAACTGAAAAATACTGAGAAAATGAGAAAGTAGCACTTGACTTGATTTACTCATTGGGACCTGACATATTTTTTCAATACGAAGAGAAACCACCCTCTGAGTCGGCCATATTCCATTAATGCTGTTTCGCTGGTTCACCTAACGCACCGGCACTCTTTTACGTGGACGGACACCAATTAATTACCAACGCGGTGAAGTTTGTGGACGAATGGTGGCGGTATTTCAATAAAGATTTTTTTAAAGATGGCATTGATGCGAAAGCAATGTAATAAAAGTGACATCAGCGCTCAAGTCTTACAGCGGTGGAACTTGGGGGGGGGGGACAGGAGCACCATCGACGGCGGAAATAGGGGAGCCAGTTGTTAGAACATCAGGCATCGGCCATTAATGGGTCAATCTACAGAGCCCAATCCAAAAATAGAACCTGCAAAAAGTGGGGGGGACAACCCCCCACAGTCGAAAGGGGGGGGGGAGGATTGGCCCCCTGCCCCTCCCCCCCACATCAGCCATCAGGGAGCAGAGGAGCACCCCAATCCGAACCTCCTTCCCTGGTGTTGGCCTTTTTTTTTGTCAAGTAGTATTTTGCGGCTGACTAACCCTTGTCATGTAGGCTCGGCTGGGCATCACAAGTACAGCGCATCGAAAGCTGACGGGAGGTACGCTCACTGTGAGCATCACGGAGCCGTCATCATAGCATTAGGTTTGGGGAGGTTTTTGGGGGGGTATTTAAAATCTTCGTTGCCACATTTTATGATAAAATGGATTATTTAATATAATCATAGACGTTCAAGTATATTTTATTCATGTGAAAATTGAAGGCTTTATAGTGGATCTTTGTTGAAGAGCCAATTGGAAACTACATAACCGATACGAATATTCAAAATAATAGTTCACCATGCATTCATGTATGTATACCCACATAAGAACAAGAAACTGTTTCCCCCCTTTCAATGAAAATACATTTCATCATATCATATGCCTATTCTTCGAACACAAAACCCGAGCCTTGGCTATTTCATCGTTGAGTATTTGTCTCAAAGTCGTGGTGTGATCATTTCAATAAGACGTTTAGCGAGTGGGTTTATTATCTTTGCACAACATACTTGGACTTATTTGCCTTGGAAACATTTCTTAAGACAAAGAAAACCCAGCTTGGTGCATATGGGGCGCCGTCATAGCCGAAATTAATATTTTACAAAACGATTGTTCCAAACAAAAAACAAAGCACAAAATTTAAAAAGAAACAAACACAAACTGCATAAACAAAGGACATCGAGAATGCAAAAAAGATAAATAAAAATCGAAGAAAAATGAGAAAAAAGAGATAAATTAAAAACGAAGAAACAGAAATGAACCAGAGCTACAAAACCTGCTTTGCCAATATTTTTACGAAATAAACGATAAAAACAAACGGTCAAAAAGGGAAAAAATGAAAGGACAAAAGTAAAAGATCCCAGGACAGAAAGAATGTAAAAAATAAAAAACAAACCAAACGATCAAAGAACGAAAGTGAACGATTTCAAGACAAAACCAAACGATCAGGGACGGAGCCAAACGGTCAAGAGACAAAACTATCAAAGGACAAAACTAAACGAACTAATTAATTGCGAACGTTGAGGGGGGAAATTGCTGACACTATGATAGCGCGCGTAATCTGATCTTTAATAATCCTATACTTCTTTGGAAAACCTCCCATTGTGTTTTTATAGGATTGTCATTTTCAACGTAAACCTTTAAGCCTAATGTTCAACGTCACCAATTTGAATCTGTATAAAAAATCGAAACGAATGATTAGGTCTACTTCGCAAGGAGAGATTAAGGATCAAGTTTTGTTCATCAGACGCACCCCAGATACGTCTTAGTATAGTTTAAGTACATGTTTGAGGAATAGTTTTTGTTGATGTCTAAACCATCTTCTTTCATTCTGAAGAAGAAGGCTGAAGACCTTTTCAAAACTTAGTACCTGTTTTCAGAGACTCCTTTCTTTGCGCGGATTATTTCTCCTTCATTTTGCTATTCATGTTCTGCCATTTCTTTTGAATTTCGCTGACATCCCGTCGGACAGAAGGAAACTGTGCATTCAGCACATCGGTAATTTCTTGCCAGGCATCATGTTTGGCAGCTGCTGTTATTTTCGCAGAAAATTTGGGCCGCCGCACTTCTTGCCATTTTTTCCATCCATTCAGCAAAAATGGTTAACTTTTCATTCTCCTAAAAGTTAGGCTTTCTTCTTTCCATCTTTGGTGGCCATTGTTATAATCATTAGTCGGAGATGTTCAATTATCAATGATATAATTTTCACAATCAAAGTGTTCCTATCAAGTTAATCTAGTTGAATCCGCGCGCGTCATTGCAACAGCGATTTCAAAATTGTCGTTTATTTAATGGGATTTCAATGCGTCTTGCGTCTAAACGCGCGGTTCCGTGGGAGAGGATCGCGTATCAAACGCGCGTTTGATTTATTTTCGGTTGTAGTTTGTAAATGCAATAGGCTTCAAATGATGAATGAAAATTCAGCTTTTTAACCTGTATGCATCCGTCCGGAACCTTAACTGATTGATTCACAATGAAAACTAAGCAACCATTGTTGATGAGTGACTTATGCGCATGAGCAACACGTCAGCTTTATGAGACATTTACTTATGAGAGTTAAGTGTAGCATTAAGATAAGTAGGATGCTTTTTCCCCCGTGAATCTCAAATTAAGCGCCCCGCTTAAGTCAGCAGGGTGCTTAAATTTTACTTTCAACTTAAGTTTTTCTTAAGTTTACGTTTTATGAATATGGGCCCTGGCCGCCGAGTCGGTCATACTCGAACCTGTACTCACCTGGACTTCGAGGACAGTCCCAACAGAAGAGCTTACCCGGTCGGCTAAGGTACTGTTGGTATTTGACGGGGTGAATTTTGCGTCTCCAGTTACAGAGGGATTTCACATTAGCTCCGTCTGCGCATATTTGCATCGAAACCGAGGCTCTCTGTGTTGAACTTAGGCTTCGTCCAAATATGTTGTCCAGAGCTAGGTCTTGGTCTTCACTCCCTTGTAAATGCATGGAGACGCGCAGACAATAGACCTAGTCGTAGCTCTGGAATCCCGTTTCGGACACGGCCGTAGTCGTGCGCCCCCGCGGAGTCGACACAGTGCATGCAGTATCCGGTTCGTGTGACACATTGATCGCCATTATAAATGGAGATCAAAGGTGTGACGCCACTTCAGTTTAAACCACGCCCACTGCACATGCAGATACACAACCATCGCAGGTACCTTAGCTCGCGGTAAATTACCGCCGATTTTACGTGTCAGTCATCCTGAAAGACTATTCTACAAAAATTTGCAGCCCGAAAAGCCTTAATTTAACATACCTTTATGTATTTCATGTCTTGACTCCTTACTTTCAATCGTCTGATCGTATTAAGAATTGAAGCTGACACATAGAGCCTCGTTGTCAAACGCGGAAGTGCGCAGATCGACGCTAAAAGCGTCGTTTTGGGATCCCTCCTGATAGCAAGCGTTGGGAAAATAAAAATCTACCGCTGGGATTCGAACCCACCGAGTAACAATCTGAAAATCGCGACCTTAATCATTTGGCCATTTTAAAGAAGTTGCTTTTAGCTATTCATATTAAGGAGATAACAAAACCATTAACCTTGCTGTACAGAATGTTTCTGTGTAAAGACTGGGTGATTAAAACGTTACAACAGTGCATCACGTAGCAAAAATACACATACACAGAAACAATGCATGGTCGTCAACATTAAATGTTCTTCCTGACAGCTTCTTCTTAGTATTTCTGATTTCTGATTTCAATATGGGGAAGTCCCCGGACCACGTCTGGACACCCGTCTACACGCATGAACTCTTTCAACTATGTTAATGACACGCCATTTTTCTCCGGCTAGGAGAGAGGGCGTTTTCTTACTTACACAAAATGACAGCCGAAGGTTAACATTAATTATTTTCCGTAACACAGAAATGAATGTTCCTGTTTCTATAGAAAAGAATTCAGCCCATCCAAACCTTAACTCTCAAATAACGTGCATGGAAGCCACCATGTTGCATGTTGCTTGTGATAACCGGCCGACCCACGAACTACAAATCGAGCTGTTCGTGAACATACAGGAACAAGCCGCCCGAACTCAGCCTGTGGTTACAATACACCAAAAACGCGTCCATAGAAAACAGTGCAAAGTCCGACCGAAATCCGACCTGTTGACTCTCGTGAAAAGTTTGGCCTCCGTTTTTCCACTGGAAATTCAAGATTATGGCCAGAAGATCACTTTTCGTTTCAATATAATGGGGGTTAGCCACGAAACTTTTTTATTCGCCTTTGAACGAAGATACTCCCAAAATAGCAGTAAAACTAAGCGCTCATTTCTGAATGTAGCCGCCCGCCTCTATCCAAAATAGGTCCGCAATTTGGGGCTTTTAGTGAAAGAAATACCCCGAACTGGAAACTATCAGTCCTAAATTCGGGATCGATAGAACTGATTTCTATGATACATCCTGATTATGGCCTGTCTTATTGTAAACATCCCGTGGGATCACAAAACATTAATGAGCTCGCAAGCAGAAATACGACCATTTGGTGGAATGCACCCTTTAGTTTAATTCGACCACCAGAATTAGAAGCCATTACAACGGTGGCACAACGCTCGTGGACAGGTGGTACGCGCGCGTTACATACCTCTTCGACCAACAGTGTCGTGATTTGCCTAATGCACGCGCGCGTCCAGCGGCAGAATGTGCGTTTGAGTGCGGTGCCTCCGCAGTAAGGGCGTCTAATCGGATTAGCCTATAGGTTGCAGTCCAGCAAATAAACCACCGTAGCCAACAGTGATAAATACCTAAACTTCAAAAAACGGGAAAAATACTCACGGGTTTAATTTCGCAGGCGTATTTCAGACGCACGTCAAATTAATCCCAGTTTATGGTTTTTCATTTTCTTTTCAAATTTCCATTCATTAACCGAAGACTTCTGAAGAGATTTATTTCCACCGAAGGTCACCCCTAAAATGCAGTCTTGAAGCCCCTCGCCATTTTGAAATATCGATGCCTACACTTCTCGAAAAAAGACCATTTTTCAGGCACCGATTTCTTCCAAATATCACTCAAACACAAGTTAGTATTCTCTTT